AGTAGAAAATTCAGCAATAGTGAATAGAGAAAATATGAGAGGACAATATCATAGGGACATGTATGTGGGGGTCAGGGGGTCAGGAGTATTGACTTAGGGGAGGTCCTGATTCAAAAATAAGAAAGAATAAAGTGAACAGAGTTTAGGAAATCAGGTCTGAGAGCTTGGTGTGAACCAGAAGGTGCAGGTTCCCATAGGGCAGCTATAGTGACTAAACTCAGGAACTCAACCCCAGTGAGCTAAATACACACAGGTTACTTTTCTCAGGTAATAGGAAGTCTGGAGGTGGAGATAGATAGCTGTTGGTGTTATTTTAATGACTCAAAAGTTTCTGAGACATGTTCTCTGAATTCTTGTAGCCTTTACTTCATGACTTCAATAGGGTTACCATGGTTACTAGCAACACGATTATATTCTAGAGAGAAAAAGAAAAAAACAAAAAACAAAAAGAGGGCAACCAAAATGGGATAAAACCTACATCAGGAAAGTAAAACTTTGTACAAAACTCTCTTGCAAAATTCCACATTATTAGCTAGCACTCATTCAGGAGGCTGGTTACTCCAAAATACAAAAGAATTTGGGGATTAGCATTTTTGTTTGTTTGTTTTGCCTTTTTATTTATTTTTTATTAAACTAAACATATTTCTGACTTGAACCAAAATGTATCCTGATAAGAAAGTATACTGGATAATCAACACTTGTAGTCTCTGAAGTTTTTATCTTGTTACATGTGGCTAGGAAGCCGGGGACTGCTTCAGATAGTGACCCTCATGGCTGCGTTTATATTTTTTACAGATGCTTTACCCGCTATACATAGAATGAGTTATAGGCAGGCAGGAGTGGAACTTGGAACCCAGTTGGAGAAGTTAATGCAGGTTTTCAGGTGAGAATGCAGTGGCCTTTCACACAGTGAAAGGAATTAGTGGAGACAGAGAGAAGGAGAAAGGATAAGAAAATATCCTGGGAAACACACACACACACATACACACACACACACACACACAGGATTTGCTGATGGAATTAAATTGAGGAGTGAGAGAAAGCCTCAAGGATGGATGAACCTTAGGATGTTGATTTGAACCATTTACTGACCACAGTAGTTTTCTGCTAAGAGAATCTTGGAGAAACAACTTGTTCTGGGTTGGAGCAGAGAATGGACTAGGTGAGCCAAGAACATCTTCAGGCTGAGAGTATTTGTGTACTAAGTCGGTTCAGTCATGTCCAACTCGTTTCGACCTCATGGACTGTAGCCCGCCAGGCTTCTCTGTCTATGGGCTTCAGGCAGGAACACTGGAGTGGGTTGTCATGCCCTCCTCCAGGGGATCTTCCTGACCCAGGGATTGAACCCAAGTCTCCTATGGCTCCTAATTTGCAGGCAGATTCTTTACCACTGAGCCACCAGGCAAGTCCATGGCAGGGTAAGGAAATGTAAAAAGAACCAAGAGCATACAGACACAAGGACACAGGGACATAAGCCTAACTTTAGCATCAAAGTAATCAATGGCAATAGGGTGGTAAAACATTGTACAACAGAGGAAAGCTTGAGTGCATGGAAGTGCCAGTTGCTCAGTCATGTCTAACTCTTTGCAACCTCATGGATTGTAGCCTGTCAGGCTTCTCTGTCTATGGGATTTTCCAGGCCACAATACTGGACTGGGTCTCCATTTCCTTCTCTAGGGGATCTTCCCGACCCAGGGATTGAACTCATGTCTCCTTTGTCTCCTGCATGGCAGGCAGATTCTTTACCCACTGAACCATCGGGAACAGAGCTATAAATAAATACCTAAAGAATACATTTAATGAAGAAGGGGATGTTCATATGATTTCAAACTATTTTGGACAAACCCAAACTGGAAAATATTCTACAAAGCAAATGGCCTAAAATCCTAACAAATTGTTGGGCTCATTAAAATCGTGGAAAGACTGACATAGGCCCTCCAAATGAGACATGACTCTCTGAAATAGACCCATTCCTGTGCTGAGGGGCTTCCCTGGCAGCTCAGCTGGTAAAGAATTCACCTGCGACGCGAGAGACCTGGGTTTGATCCCTGCATACAGAAGATCCCCTGGAGGAGGGCATGGCAGACCATGCCAGTATTCTTGCCTGGAGAGTCACATGGACAGAGGAGTCTGGACGGCTACAGTCCATGGTTTTGCAGAGTCGGACACGACTGAGCGACTAAGCACAGGCTTTCTTGTGCTAAAAAATGACATTAGGACCATGGGAGAAATTTAAGATCTGAGCATGTAAGTTTTGGTTTCTCAATTCCGATGGCTGTATTTCCTTTACAGAGGAGTAGGTCCCTTCTTGATAGAAAACGCATAAGTAAGTAGTCACATGGCTTGGAGCATGGGGTTCTTAAGTGTCTTTCTAATGTTTCAAAGAAAGAGTTATTTGAAGCATACTTCTAACTTTTCTCTAGGCTTTAAATGATTTTAATTTTTTAAAAAATAATAATCATGGCATTATTTTCCCAGTAATTTAAGACACTTTCTTAGATTAGCTGCCTGGTCAGAATTTTGCAACATGTTAAGAGTTGATGAGGATTTCTACTTGATTGTATTAAATGGATAATACAGCCCTACCATTCCATCATCAATACAACCTCATCGCTGACATTTTAACTATTCCTATGTTCTCTGTAAAACACTGAGTAGGATTAGATGTTGTAAAAATCAAATTTAATTTCTTTGACTCTAGCTATGTTCAAGGAAGAGTGGCTGGGAGAGAACTTTTACTCTGACAGCAGAGTTGAAGATTCCATGGGTTTTTGGAAGTGGCGAGTGAGTTCTCTGGAGAAGGCGAGGGCTGGGTTAGCACCCTGTTAACTCATTGTCCAGGAGAAACACTTGCTGGAGATGCCAAGTTATAATTACTGGTTCCAGCTTCCCCACCATGACACCATCGTTTGAGTCACTCTGTTTGTTGTTGATTCCTGCAAGAACGCCCTCCCAAGAATGGAAGCACATAATTATCAGCCTTTAGTGCAAACCCTTTTGGAGAAATTCTCAGTTAAACCCACTCTTTAGAGACAAATAGCGAAGGGGCTTGTAATTAGATGAGCTGCTTTTAAACATGAACCGACATAGATAATGCTAGATAATTAGTAGATAATTTTCTAGGTATTCCTGGCACTGAGTGCGCAAAGTAAAATGAAGTCAGGCCTAGCACTCTGAGAATTGCCTGTGGCCAGGAGTTGTGAGTGTTAATTGGAGAGATCTTTGTTTAAGAATCTGAGCGACTCTTTCTCATTGTCCAGTGAATTGCCTGGTCTGACAGTGGCCAAGAGCACAAATAATTTGGCCATTGGAAGTTAGTTTCTGATGGAAGTTATTCATTGGTAACAGTTTTTAGCTTTAACCACTGGCTTGAATGATATTTGTATTGTGGGTTGAAAGGTGTTAAGGAAACTTTTTAACTATTAGGTGCGTGTTTGGAGTTTCTACTATTACTCATACTTAGTAAACTGCTAATTGGTATAAGAGCCGACTCATTGAAAAAGACTCTGACGCTGGGAGAGATTGAAAGCAAAAGTACAAGGGGGCGACAGAGAATGAAATGGTTAGATAGCATCACCGATGCAACGGACATGAATTTGAGCAAAGTCCGAGAGACAGTGAAAGACAGAGGAGCCTGGTGTGCTGCAGTCCATGGGGTTGCAAACAGTCAGACACAATTTAAAGACTGAACAAAACAAAAAATAATTGGTATATTTTTGTGCTTGATCCGTGGCTCAGATGGTAAAGAATCTGCCTGCAAAGCAGGAGACCCTGGTTTGGTTCCTGGGTTGGGAAGATCTGATAGAGAGGGGATAGGTTGCGTACTTCAGTATTATTTGGGCTTGACCTTGTGGTTCAGTGGGTAAAGAATCTGCCTACATTTCAGGAGACCTGGGTTCGATCCCTGGGTGGGGAAGATCTCCTGGAGAAGGGCAAAGCTACCCACTCCAGTATTCTGGCCTGGAGAATTCCATAGACTATATAGTCAGACACAAATGAGCAACTTTCCCTTTCATTTTACCCCTCAGTTCCCCCATGCATAAAAATGAAACAATATCCATGTACAAACGAGACATTATTTGAAGGTGAAGGCTCAAAAAAGAAAATATGTTCAATGTTAAAATTCCAAAATGGTTACTATGCAAAGGTTGGTGTTACTTTTGTGACCACCACGATTTAAGGAAACCATGCAATGGAAGCACAGGCTAGGAATCTGTCCTGTCAGAAGAAAGAGAAAGCTTAAAGTATAGTGAAATGTGTTGTCGGTTTAAAATGAACATCGTTTTTCGTTTGAAACATCGTGCATCCCTAATAAGCTGGCTGCCCACCTGCTAATAACCTCCTGCTCTGTCCCTGTCCTCACACCCTCTGGGCTGCAGACCCGCCCACACTTTCTGGGCAGCTCTCCCGCACTTACTTCCTCAATCCTGCTCTGGCTCTCTTCTCATCCCCTCCCCTTTGAAGGCTCCAAGCATTTCCTGCTTTAATTGGCCTGTTGTCACTGCGCCCTTTCAAGTGGTTCCCCGACTAGTTTAGTTACAAAATTCTACATAATCTCTGCACTAAACTTGAAATAAATAGGTCTATAATTTAGCTCTGAATTTGATATAAACTTGCATTTCATCCCGACACAGACAACATGGGCATGAAACAAAGATTAAAAAAAAAATTTACTAGCAGTTTCAAAACAGGGGTACCTTTCTGCTTGCTTTGACTTCTCATAAGTTTCTATGCATCGCATATGGGGCTTCAGCATCTCCTTTGGACATCTGAGCCCTAGGCTATAGCTGGGGTGGGAAAATGCTCTCCAAGTGCCCTAACTTGGAGAACCATCTCTCTGGAGAGCACTTAGAGCCGTCTCCAGCCCAGCTTTTTAGCCCATCACTCCCTGTGCCGGGCTGGCGTATTCAGTCTGCTATCCTGGGGCTGTTTCTCCTGTGAGATTGGCAGGAGCAGAAGGTCTCCCAGCAGCACCGCGTCCGTGTGTGCTGCATCTCCACCTGCACTTGATGTCTCTGGCCCCGGTGGAGGTGGGGCATCTTCTCCTTGACGACTTCTGGCATGATGGAACCTCTGAGGGAACAAGGCTGCCTCTGCCACCCACCAGCGCTCTGGCAGGAGTTGCGGAGCCAGGTACGCTGGTTTATTTGAAGTGGAGTTGCCCTTTGTGTTTCAAGCACATTCTTATCCCAGTGAAGTTGTGAAATTAAAATGAGTTTTTAAACCATTTTTATCCTCCAAATCAAAATGAAACAAAATACTTCTGGCAAGGATTAAAGATGAAATTAAACCCTGTGGGCTTTATCAGAACAACTCTGAATTGGCTGGGGCTCCCTCAGCCCAGGAAAGAAGATTTCTCCTAAGGAGGAAGTCAGGTTTGCACCTGGCTTATCAGCACCCTCCCAAGCCTGGTGGCTGGGCGGTCTGTTTTCAAGTTGCAAAGTTACAAAGCTTCATCCACTTGTTTTTAATGACAGATTAGAATGATAAACCACGAGAAATTGTAAAACCTCGAGGTAGTATAGCAAAATGTCACAGAATAGACATTCATTTCACACAGTTCAGAGGCTGTCCAAGGTCAAGGTGCTGGGTGATTCTGGTGTCTTGAGGAGAACCCTAGTTCTCGTTTACAGACAGCCACCTCTGGCTGTGTCCTTATACAGCCCTGACCTCACTTCCTCTTCTCACGCAGGGACTAATCCTCTCAAGGGAGCCCCACCCTCATGACATCATCCAAACATGATCCCAGGAACAGGTGTAGGAGGAGGAAGATGATGATGGTTGGCCTTTTGCATCTCAGGTAACTAGTGCTAAAGAACCCACCTGCCCATGCAGGAGATGTAAAAGATGTGAGTTCAGTTCCTGAGTCTAGAAGTTTTAATGGTGGAGGAAATAGCAGCATACTCTAGAATTCTTGTCTGGAGGATCCCATGGACAGAGGAGCCTGGTGGACTGCAGTCCATGGGGTTGGAAAGAGTCAGACATGACTGAAGAGGCATGCACGCACACACTAAAATATAACTGCCTCCATCTACTAACACCATCACACTGGGGGTGGAATTCTGGGGAAGAGGATACAGACCCACAGCAAAGCTGTGGGAGGGTCACAGGGACATTGTCCTGTGGGTCAGACTGAGGTCTCCCACTGAAGAGCAGTTTCTCGCCAGCTGCAAATCCACTCAAGTGCAAACCCACCTCACTCACCCATGGGCTTTGCAGAGACTTACCTAGACTTCCCAGAGGGCCTGCGGTCATCTTGGCAGGGAGGCCCTGTTCTCAGCTCAGCCCCGGGCCTCTCTTCAGAGCCACAGGTCTGATAATTGGTAATTCATGTTTGGTGGCCTCCAGAAGTCACACATGAGTCCAAAGGCTCCCGTAACTGAGGCCAGACTGGTCCTTCTGCTTCAAAATCCCATTTCACAAAGAGGAAAAAAAGCAAAGCAAGAAACAAAGTTTGTTGTTTGCACTGGGTCAGACGGGCTAGCTAGAACCAGGCTCCCATGGGGAGTTTTGAAGCCAAACTTTTCCTTGCCCCTTCCCTCTCTTCTACTTTCTCCCATCAGTTTCTTGTGCCTATTTGTATAAGCAACTCACCTGCTTTCTGGAGGTGGCTGGAGAATAAGCACTTTGACCGGTGGCCTGCCCTGCTCCAGGCTGTGTGGACACAGCATCACAGCATACAGGTCCCTCGGGCCTTCATGGGCCCCTCCCACTTTGTCGGAGGGATGCAGAGGGGGTGCCTTGGTCCTGTCCATCTCTGACCTGCAGCTCTGAGTCAAAGGTCCCAGCAGCTCCCAGCTCCCACAGGCTTCCTGCTGCTCTGGGGGAGGGAGCAGGTATACCACCTGCCACTGAGCAAAGGGGAAGATTGACTTGAGTTTCAAGTTTGGCCCCAGTGGGAGCACAGGTGAGTCTGGGGTACTATGTCCCAGGTCTCTGCAGAAAGAAACAATTTTAGTAAGCCTGGTATTTTCTTTGCAATCTATTTGATGCAAACTATTTCTTGGACTCCAAAATCACTGCAGATGGTGATGGCAGCCATGAAATTAAAAGACGCTTGCTCCTTGGAAGAAAAGCTATGACCAACCTAGACAGCATATTAAAGAGCAGAGACGTTACTCTGCCAATAAAGGTCCATCTAGTCAAAGCTATGGTGTTTCCAGAAGTTGTGTATGGATATGAGAGTTGGACCATAATGAAAGCTGAGCAATGAAGAATTGATGCTTTTGAACTGTGGTTTTAGAGAAGACTCTTGAGAGGCCCTTGGACTGCAAGGAATCCAACCTGTAATTCCTAAAGGGAGTCAGTCCTGAGTGTTCACTGGAAGACTGATGCTGAAGCTGAAACTCTAATACTTTGGCCACCTGATGCATAGAACTGACTCATTGGAGAAGACCCTGATGCTGGCAAAGATTGAAAGCAGGAGGAGAAAGGGAAGACAGAGGATGAGATGGTTGGATGGGATGTTGCAGGGAAGCCTAGCATGTTTCAGTCCACAGGGTTACAAAGAGTCAGACATGACTGAGCGACTGAACTGAATTTTTACTCCTGAGTAAAAGTTTGGTGTGGAAGTTGATCCATAAAATATTAGTCTGTAAAGAACTCTATGAAGTGAAATGTATTACAGTGAGATAGTCACCTAAGAGCTACATGCACTGGCTTCCACTCTGAACAGTGACATGTGTAAAGCTCGTCTCTAGGCTCCAGCCATTTAGTCCTGGGGCTATAGCTCCTCCCAACCATGGCTTTAGCCAGACAGCATGAACATGCCATTCAAATCTTTGCTGTGTACAAAGAGGGATGACACCTGAAAGATAGGATTTGCTTTAATACATATGCATGGACCAAGCCCTTAAAAGTGAGTTGGTAGTTGTTCAGAGTATAGATTCTGAGTTCTCATCACATGGGGAAAAATAAAAAAAAATTATTGAAGCAAAGTTGATTTACTACATCCTGTTAGTTTCAGATGTACAGCACAGAGATTTAGTTATATATATGTATTAGTCACTCAGTCATGTCGACTCTTTACAATCCCGTGGACTATAGCCTGCCAGGCTTCTCTGTCCATGGAATTCTACAGGATAAGAATACTGGAGTGGGTTGCCATTTCCTTCTCCAGGGGATCTTCCCCACTCAGGGATCAAACCCAGGCTCCATGCCTTGCAGGTGAATTCTTTACCATCTGAGCCACCTGGAAAGCCCCAGTAGATATATACAGATGCAGATATAGATATAGATACAGATACAGATACAGATACAGATACAGATATAGATAACTCTTTTCATATTGTTTCCCCTTACAGGACATTACAAAGTACAGTATAGTTCCCTGTGCTCCACAGTAGGGCCTTGTTGGTTCTCTATTTTATATACAGGAGCATGCATTTATTTATTTCAGGAGCGTGTATCCTTATTTATCCCTCTTCTTCTCTTTCTTCTTGGTAACAGCAAGTTTGCTTTCTATGTGTGTAGGTCTATTTCTGTTTTGTAAATAAGTTCATTGCATCTTTCTTTTAGATTCCACATAAACATGACATCTTAGAGTTTCTGTCTTGTCCATCTACATGCGCCAAGGGCATGGTCCTGGGTGGTCCTCAACTCGTGTTCTGGGTTGTTGGTTGGTTGTTGGTCCTCAGCTCGTGTTCTAGGGTCAGTGGGGGTCTTTTGTGTCAAAGGTGCAAACATATGACAGAGGTGTCTTGGAAAGCTCTATGAGCATCTGTATTTCAGGGTGTGGATGGACTATGGTACACTCCCTACAAAGTATTCAGCAAAGACATCTCTTCTTTTTCAACAGGGACACCAATGAGAATTCAGAAGAATGAGAAGGTACTTTATGCAAAACTGAAGTGTGAGTTGAGAAAGAAGCCTATGTGTTTTTCACATTCATAGTTAATGTTCAATGTTATTCTCTCCTGCAAGTAATCAATTTTTCGGTGTTTAAGCATCAATACATGACCTCTGGACAGCAAGAAGATCAAACCAGTCCATCTTAAAGGAAATCAACCTTGAATATTCATCGGAAGTACTGATGCTGAAGCTGAAGCTCCAATTCTTTGGCCACCTGATGCGAAGAGCTGACTCATTGGAAAAGACCCTGATGCTGGGAAAGACTGAGGGCAGGAGGAGAAGTGGGAGGCAGAAAATGACATGGTTACACAGCATCACTGACTCAATGGAGATGAGTTTGAAACAAACTCCAGGAGATACTGAAGCACAGGAGAGTTTGCTGCAGTCCACGGGGTCCCAAAGAGTCAGACATGACTTAGCGACTGAATAACAACATTCACAGATTAATGTTAAATGATTACCTCACTAATTTCAAGGAACTGAATGGGAGGGGAGGGGAGAGCATTTTGGAAGCAGGTGCTTTACGGAAAGAGCATTGTTTGCAGCCCCTGTGACTCAGGAAGTCCAGCTGAGGATGAAAGTTGAATCAGAGAAACAAACGATGACAGGCAGAGATCGTTAAAAAGTAACCCTTGCACTGTACTGCCTGTTCAAAGGACCCGAACATGGTCCTGAGTCTCTTCATTCCTAACTTGTTGGTTATCAACCTGAATGATGGTACTGGAGGGTCAGTCTGGTCTGGGGAAACAGCATGTGATCAGAGACCCTGAGTGGGTTGGTACAGGGCCTGGAGACAGTTGGCTGCAGCTGAACAACAAAGGGCCTATGGAAGCTGGCGAGCCTTCAGCATTTCTGCAATGTTTTAAGTTGTTACTGGAACCTAGTCATCTATGTTGTGATAAGCTGTGTGAATATGTGTGTGTGGAGGGGAAGGTGAAGTTTCTAAGGAGCTTCAATGTGATGACAACTTCCTAAAATAATCAATTTTTTTCCAGAAAATGGACCCTGATTTAATCATCGAATGATGGTTTCCCTGGTGGCTCAGATGGTAATAAATCTGCCCGCAATGCAGGAGACCTGGGTTTGATCCCTGGGTCAGGAAGATCCCCTGGAGAAGGGAATGGCCAGTATTCTTGGCAGGCTGCAGCCCATGGGGTTGCAAAGAGTCAGACATGACTGAGCGACTAATACACAAATGCCTGAATTTAAAAAC